AGTAACTATTCCAAAAGATGCTAATAACATTTTCGTGCTTACTAGTAAAGTGTTTTTTGTTACTAGGAATTCATTAATTAACTTGTTGATAGTAACATTTAATTCTTACTAACTATAACTTATAGCTAATGGAATAGAATAATAATAAGCACTAGTATCTAAATAAATGTCAAGTTGTGCTGTGTTTAAACTACTACGTGTCTATATTGTGTAATATCAATCTGCATGTAATACTCCTTAATACTATCCACTGTTACACAATCTAACCGGTTGAGTCAGATAGCTGCCCAGCCTGAGTCTAGGTTCCACTTAAGGTTTTCTAGAAGTTTTGTTTTCTGTAAATAATATTATAAAGAGTGCTCTACATGAAAAGTACAATTAAATAACTTCCGTTGTAACTAAACAAATAAACAAAATAAAATCAGTTTTGAACATTAAAATGCCTATACACCCTCAGTTATTTACTACTATTTCAACCAACTCTTTCTAAGATTTAAAGACAGAGTGCAACTATTAAAGGCAGACAAACCTCTTTTAGGATAGTGCAGGTAATAGGATGTGTAAAGCAGGAACTAACATGCAAGGTTAGATGGGTTTTTGAAAGGATTTAATTAATCACAAGCACAGTCTATAGAACTGATATTACAAATTCAAGACATTATTGCTAAATAGAAAGTATAATCCAACATGCATTATACACACAATTTACAGCGTGTCTTTGATAGCCTAGAAGGCGTAAACATCATGTTAATGATGCCTGCAGCTTTGTGGAAGACTTGTTTTACATGTTGACTGAATGCCAATGACCTGATTTGCTACTTCCACTGTGAGGCTTTGTTTTTTACTCCCAAGCTATAAAGACAGGCTAAATAACTTTGATCGACAAGATCAAGCACATTAGCAGGGTATCTGCACACTTTTTAAAATCAAAAGGGACAGATAAGGATCTACACAGGCGCTCCCTTTTTCTCTATGAATTCAAGTTGTTTTAAAACATATTAAAATTAATTAGACATCATCTCACATTTAAGACATTTATAATACTTTTAAAAGACATTTTACGACCCTCATTTTTTAATTTCAATCTTTGAAAACTTTTAGGATATATGGATATATAGATTAAATACTGGCCCCTCTTCTAAAATTTCAGCATTAAGAATTATACTGCTGAAACACAAACAAAAGAAAGCATGTTACGAATATGATTTAATAAAGCCTGCTGAGCAGTATGAACAATTTGCTGCCATTTGATTATCACACTGTCACACACTGCAGCGTATAAAAACAGTGCACCTGTGACCTGACTTCTGTTTTGTTTTATTCCTACACAGGACTCCTGCACAAAATACACACAGATTATCAAGTAGCATTTGTTTTACACACACACACACACACACACACACACACACACACACAAATTTTCTCATGACAGTAATATATTTTTACAAAATTATAACTTATTATGTAGTGTTGGCATTATGGATATGCAAAAACAATGCTTCCAGAAGCAGCTGCTGATGTTTAACTGGGTTGAGGGCTCTTCAGGGTCGTGTGCAGTAGTAAGCACTTTACATACAGCATGTGTAGATCAGCGAGGGTAAGAGTAGAAAGTGGCTTTGGAATTATATTTGACTGATAGTCCTGTCTAAGTCAATTCGTCATTGTGACGCCACCCCCGAGTAAACAAGTTCACTGATCTGTGTAAGGCAACTTACATTGTCTAACTGATTTGATTGGCAAAGTAAGCCAAATCTAGAGACATTTTGCATCTACTTTGTAGACATGTTGTTGGTTGTGATGAATACTTGATGAATACACACACCCAAATGTAGCCAAGTGCAACTATATGAACTTTTACAGTACATCAGATATAAAATCTCTTCTATATCTTCTCTATGTGCTCTTGGTAGGAATTACATACAGTATAAATGTTTTTGTCAAAAACAGCAGTGATCTATTGAGAATTGTTAAAAGCAGTTACTACTACAGTACAGTTAAAACTATACATCCAGCATACATCATGTAATACTAATAAATCTTTTTGATGGTGTGTATTACATAGTGTTGTTGTGAGCAAAATAAAACATTTAAAATATGGCTTAAGGCTTAGTTTTTCCAAAGAACAAGCCTGACTCTTCTTCCATGTTACATTATACTTAATATCTAACCATGATACATTTAACTTGTTATAGCTGTGGTGGAGAAAAGAAAAAAAAAGAAACTGTTGGTTTGATTGGTTGGCTGTCATTCTGTCTGCAGAGATCATCAGGGGTTGGAGTAGGAGTGAGTTGCACCAGATGCACTAGATGACATGTTATAACCATCTGAAAAACAGAAACAAAACAAAGTGTCAAATGATGCTAAAACAAGACTAAGAGTCTATGCTAGTGCCTCTGTGAGGATGTTCATTGGCAAAGTGGTGCTTTGAGCTAAACGGTAAGTCAGCATGGCAACATGCTCACAATGATCATGTTAATACGCTGATGTTTATGCTACATTCACGCAGTGTCAGGAGTCTTTAGTTGACAATTCTGCCACATTTGAATCCATGCCATAATAATATGGGCTGCTCTAATAGCACATCAAGGACCCCCAACAAGTGAATGTGGTGTTTAATACTCTGGACTGAATATTAGAGAAGAGCCATTTAGTCAGTGAACACAGTGACATCTGGTGGCTTGTAAAACTTATAGCAGCCCTCCAACACTGAGGCTGAAGCACCACCACACCTCACTGATTAGTTTTAGTCTCATATGTGTGAAATAAAAGTCCAACAATCCTGTGAGTTATTATTAAACCTGTATACTTTTGTCCAGTATAGAGGTTATGTTGCAAAAAGCCTAGATAAAATATTTTTGCTGACATGCTCATTAATGTACCTTTTTGTGTAGTTTAGTCCAAGTGACACGGTGGGCTCACCTTTTTAACTTCATTATTGATATTTGACATGTCATTTCAGTCGCAATGTGATATAATTGGAGAGTGATTAATTACATTAGTCTATTTATTATTTTTTACATTATTTCTTGGTAACAGGATGAAATGTCCTCATAGTTATGATTATGTTTTTGTAATGCACCTCGACTTATTTCTCTATTACTCTCCTCTCTTCTTATTCCACTAATGTGGAGATCACAGAGATGGCTGTAAAACTTTCAAAATGGTCAAATTGAAAAAGCACTTTCAAAGCACCAGTGAAGCTTTGGACATCATCAGTCACAGGATATTCTTTATTTGACACAGCATATTAAAACAGCGTGCTTCACAGGAGTGAAACAAGCTTTGGACCTGAGGTATCATCTGCTTATCTTGAGCTAACCACAGCTAATGCAATCCAAATTAGGTTAGTGACCTGGGCCCTGTTTCAGAAAGCAAGCTTAACAAACTCTGAGCTTATCCCTGAGCTCTGAGTTGACTGAGCCTGAGGTGGGAAACTTTGAGCTTATCCCTGAGCTCTGAGTTGACTGAGCCTGAGGTGGGAAACTCTGAGTTTTCGGGTTCCAGATTAAAATTAGTTCAATCAACTCTGAGTATATTGAGCCTGATGGACGCTCGTGTGTGGGGGGATGAAGAAAAGCCATCATCAATGGAGCTCCGATACTACGATTCACCATGGCAACGGTTAAATAAATGTAGAGCCTCCATTTTAATCGGGTGGAGCTAGAAATTTGAATGCGTGCCAGTGCGGACCATGAACACAGGAGTGGAGGAAGGATCAATGCTTTAACATTATTAGGCTACTTTACAGCGTTGCTCATTCATCATTTACCAGACTGGAATTTCCTTGATGAATGAAAGTGCTGGAATTCTCCTACAGCCCATTACATTAGATTTAAAAGGCTATATTTAATAAGCTGTAGGCCTAACCCGAACGGACTAAATGCTGTGGCAATTGGCTGCCAGATTATGAAAATAAACGGTGCCCAGGGCTTGACATAACCAAAGTTACTAGCCAGACAGCATTTTCACTAGCCATATTTTTGTTGTTGGGAAAATACATTTTATAAGATTAAATTTGACTTTGGCATGCTGAAGTTTACTTGAACTAGATTTATAACCTTTTTAAATGAAAATAAACACCCAATCGAGACTACTGCTAAGAAGTTTTTTTTTTAAACATGTAGCCTAGTCTTTTATGACAAAGACATATAAAGAGTAGCTTCTTATTGCATTTAATAAAAGTGGTGCATGGGTGTAGAATAATTGAAAAGATAAAAACTAACCTGAAAAACCTAAACTTTCTGTTTAAAT